TTCACCGTGTTAGCCAGGATGGTCTCGATCTCCTGACCTCCCAAAGTGCTGGGATTACAGGCTTGAGCCACCGCGCCCGGCCAAGAATAAACTTTTAAGTGAAAAACAAAAATTACTGTTGCCGGGTGCAGTGGCTCACACCTGTAATCCCAGCACTTTAAGAGGTCAAAGTGGGCGGATCACCTGAGGTCGGGAGTTCAAAACCAGCCTGCCTAACACAGTGAAACCCCGTCTCTACTAAAAATACAAGATTAGCCGGGCGTGGTGGTACATGCCTGTAATCCCAGCTACTTGGGAGGCTGAGGCAGGAGAATCGCTTGAACCTGGGAGGTGGAGGTTGTGGTGAGCTGAGATCATGCCATTGCACTCCAGCCTGGGCAACAAGAGCAAAACTCCGTCTCAAACAAAACAAAACAAAACAAAACTAATTACTGTCAAGTTAATACGGTTATAAAATAGAACTAAAGATGCTCAAAACTAATATAGTTTGTTCCATAAATATTGTATTGAAAAGCTAATATCTTAATTAAGTAGATTAACTGCCAGGTAAGTGAGAACTTGTGAATGTGTCTTTTGGGAGTGGGGCCAGACAGGTTGAGCATCCCTTATCTGAAATGCTTGGGACCAGAAGTGTTTTCAATTTCAGATTTTGGAATATTTGCATATACATAATGAGATATTTTGCAAATGCGACCCAAGTCGAAACACGGAATTCATCTGTTTTACATACACCTTATACGCATAGTCGGAAGGTAATTTTATACAATATTTTAAATAATTGTGTGCATGAGACATAATTTTGCATTTTTGACTACAACCCTTCACATGAGGTCAGGTGTGGAATTTTCCATTTGTGGCATCACGGTGCTCAAACATTTTGGATTTTGGATTTTGAATTTCTGAATTAGGGATGCTCAACCTGTAATAGAATGTATAGAATTCTCATAAGCCAGTCATTTTGAGTTGTTTGCTGAGGCATGTATGTCTTCACTGTAGTCTAGATAGTGTAATGAACAATGGCATGAAACTGTCAGAACTAGGGCATTAAGCTAGATGGATAAATGGCTAGTGGAACAATTTAGTTATATTAAAATAGTAAGATAAACACTGATTTTAAAATGTCTCCATAGTTGCAATAGCTGCTGGCCGAAAACTTGCCCATAGACTTTTTGAACATAAGGAAGATTCCAAATTGGATTATAACAACATCCCAACTGTGGTCTTCAGCCACCCCCCTATTGGGACAGTGGGACTCACAGAAGGTAGGTATTTAAAAACTGAAGGTAATTTGTGGTTTCCTTCCTCTTTCCCCTGCCCCCAACTTTAAATTAGGTCGCTGTCAGCTGATGAAACCTATCTCAGTCCCAGATTACGTTGCTTTTTGGTTCCTCTCTTGTCATAGTTCCAGTTTTTTCACCTACTAGTACTTCGAATGTACAGTATCTTTCCTTCACACCACCCTATCTCTTTCATCTTTTTTTTCTAGCTTTTTTATTTGAACTAATTTTAAATTTAAAGGAAAGCTCTAAAAATAGTACAAAGGACTCCTCTCTAACCTTAATATTTTTGCTTTTTCATTTTTTCGCTCTACACACACACATCACACACACAAAAATATATCTTTCCTAAGAACTGGCCCTTATGTAAACTGAGTATCATTTTCTTTTCTTTGTTTTTTTGTTTTTTTTTTTTGAGACAAGCTGTCCCACTCTCACCTAGGCTGGAGTGCATTGGCATGACCTCGGCTCACTGCAACCTCTGCCTCTGGGTGCAAGCACTTCTTCTGCCTCAGCCTCCCAAATAGCTGGGACTACCAGACCTGCACCACCACCATGCCTGGCTAATTTTTTGTAGAGACAGGGTTTCACTGTGTTGCCCAGGCTGTTCTCAATCTCCTAGGCTCAAGCGATCTGCCTGCCTCCATCTCTCAAAGTGCAGTGATTACCGGCACAAACCACTGTGCCCGGCCTTTCTTTTCATCTAGAGGCAAAATTCCTCAGCCTTTCTTTTGTCTTACATGACACTGACATTTATTTTGTAGAATGTCTGTCATTTTGGTGTGGTTTGATATTTCCTCGTGGTTTGATTCAGGTTATGTTATTTCTGGCCATCTCCCTCTTTGATAGTTCAGTGTAATTGTTTAGTTTTCTGATAGATGCTTTTTTTTAATGTGCATTGTAGATGAGGCCATTCATAAATATGGAGAAGAAAATGTGAAGATCTATTCAACCAGCTTTACCCCGATGTATCACGCAGTTACCAAAAGGAAAACAAAATGTGTGATGAAAATGGTCTGTGCTAACAAGGAAGAAAAGGTAAGGAAAAATCCAGCAAACTAAATAGTGCTCTGCAAAATGGACAGGGATGGCAGGATTTTGCAGGGGTGGAAAGGAGGGAGACCAAGCCGGTAAGCCTTCTGATTCAACTGGGCAGGCCCACTTTGATCTGTCTTGTATGTATTTTGGGGTTCTTCATAATATTTCATCTAGAAGGAGGTTCCACTCCTTTTAAAAAATCAGGATGATATTGGGCATGGTGGCTCACACCTGTAATTTCAGCACACTGGGAGGCTGAGGCGGGTGGATCACCTGAGGTCAGGAGTTTGAGACTAGCCTGACCAACGTGGTGAAACCCCGTCTCTACTAAAAATAGAAAAATTAGCCTGGCGTGGTGGTAGGCGCCTGTAATCCCAGCTACTCGGGAGGCTGAGGCAGGAGAATCACTTGAACCCAGGAGGCAGAGGTTGCAGTGAGCCAAGATCACGCCACTGCACTCCAGCCTGGGTGACAAAGCAAGACTCCATCTCAAAGCAAAAAAAAAAAAAAAGAGGAGAAGCCAGGCGCTATGGTTCATGCCTGTAATCCTAATACTTTGGGAGGCCGAGGTAGGCGGATTGCCTGAGCTCAGGAGTTTGAGACTAGCCTGGGCAACATGGTGAAACCCTGTCTCTACTAAAAATACAAAAATTAGCTGGGCACGGTGGTGCCATGAACATTCCTCAGTAGCCTGTGATTTCTGGATATTGAATCACGAAGGCTCCTTCTTAGTTATTTCTTCATACCAGTTATCATTCATTCAGTTGACAAACATTATGAGTCCATTCTTCTCAAGACTAAGAACTGCGATATGGAGAGGAATAATATGAAGAGTCGGCCATCACCAGAGGCTCTTTATAGGTTCAATTAAGATCAATTAAGATCATAATATCGGTCAGACAACGTGACTCATGCCTGTAATCCCAGCACTTTGGGAGGTGAGGTGGGTGGATCACTTGAGCCCGGGAGTTCAAGACCAGCCCGGCCAACATGGTGAAACCCCATCTCTGCTAAAATTACAAAATGAGCTGGGTGTGGTGGTGCGTGCCTGTAATCCCAGCTACTCGGGAGGCTGAGGCAGGAGAAGCATTTGAACCCAGGAGGTGGAGGTTGCAGTGAGCCGAGATCATGCCATTGCACTCCAACCTGGGCAACAAGAGCGAAACTCTGTCTCAAAAAAAAAAAAAAGAAAAAGAAAAAGAAAAGAAGATGTTTCTCTTTTTTTCCCAGGTGGTTGGGATCCATATGCAGGGACTTGGATGTGATGAAATGCTGCAAGGTTTTGCCGTTGCAGTGAAGATGGGAGCAACGAAGGCGGACTTTGACAACACAGTCGCCATTCACCCTACCTCTTCAGAAGAGCTAGTCACACTTCGTTGAGAACCCTGAGACGCGTGTGGCTGGCAGCGGGACCCGTAGATCTTCTGAAATGAAACAAATAATCACATTGACTTACTGTTTCAGTTTTATGTATTTCTTTATTTTAATCAGTATCTTCTGATAGTGGAAATTTTTAGTACATAGTAGAACTTATTTATGGAGTTAGAGATTTGTAATGTTATCCAGGATTGATTTTCATTTGATCACATCTCACAATAATTAATATTTTCAAGTTTTTTTTTTTTTATTAACAGCTCTGTGCTAGGTTTTGTTTTTTTTTTTCTGTTTTAGCCTCATCCCAAATATAAAACTTTGTGAAGTACAATTAACTTAATGTACTTGAATGAACAGAACTTGCTTTTTTTTTTTTTTTGAGACAGAGTTTTGTTCTCATTGCCCAGGCTGGAGTGCAGTGGCACTACCTCGGCTCACCACAACCTCTGCCTCCCAAATAGCTGGGATTACAGGCGTGTACCACCACACCTGACTAATTTTGTATTTTTAGTAGAGATGGGGTTTCTCCATGTTGGTCAGGCTGGTCTCGAACTCTTGGCCTCAGGTGATCTGCCCGCCTCGGCCTCCTGAGGTACTGGGATTACAGGCATGAGCCACTGTGCCGGCCTGCTAATTTTCATAGAAGTTGATGGCAATTCTTCACGTGTAAACAATACCAGTGCACAGAACCTTTATATATTTTTTGAAACCAGTACTGTGCTCTTCAAGGATGTGACCTTTTTCTAAAGGTATGTAATGTGAGAAGCCGGCCTGCCTTATTTTCTTTTTTCTTTCTTTTTTTTTTAATCATTAAAAATGGTTTGTGGCCAGGCTCAGCGGCTCAGGCCTATAATTCTAGCACTTTGGGAGGCCAAGGCAGGAGGATCACTTGAGCCCACTTGTTTGAGGCCAGCATGCACAGCATAGCAAGACTGCATCTCTACAGAAAGTAAAAAAAATTACCCGAGTGTGGTGGTGTGCACCTGTAGTCTCAGCTACTTGGGAGGCTGAGGTGAGAGGATCGCTTGAGCTTGGGTGAGGTGAGGCTACGGTGAGTCCTAATCATGCCACTGCACTCAATCTTGGACAACAGAGCAAGACCCTGTCTCAAAAAAAAAAAAAGTATGCATTATTTTTATGAGATGAAGTGCATCAAACTTGGGAAAGATTTGAGGAGGCTGGGACCCTCCTGGGAAAACCCACCTTGAAAACAGATACGAGAGACATTTAGAAGTGATTCCTACTCTCAGAAGGAGGTGGATTCAAATACTTCAAAAGTCCCTTCCTCTGCTCAGTGTTTATAGTTCAATGAATAATTTCAGTATTTGTATGTGTTCTTGTCATTTTATTTTTTTCTGAAAATCTTCCCAAAATTTGAAAATAAAATTAACAGCTTTTTCTTCTTATAAAATTTGTTACCATGAGCTTTAACTGGTACATAGGAAATTGGTTCATTTTCTAAGGATATTTCACATTGGAGAATCGGTTGCCTGTGCTTACAGGGGTGAAAAGAGAGTTCTCGTATAAAAATAAAGATCAAAGGTATAAACGCAACATTTAGCAGATTAATGGTTGAGTTGGAAGAAAAGCCTAGAAATCATTTAGGTCTTTAACACTTTATTTCTATTAGGTTTTACCAGCTAGTTCAATTTTTCCATGATTTTCATTAGGCATCCAGTGTTACTGAATTCTTTTTTTTTTTTTTTTTTTTGAGACAGGGTCTCCATTTGTCGCCAGGCTGGAGTGCAGTGGTGCGATCTCAGGTCACTGCAGCCTCCATCTCCCAGGTTCAAGCAGTTCTCCTGCATCAGCCTACTGAGTAGCTGGGACTACAGGTGCATGCCACCACACCCAGCTAATTTTTGTATTTTTAGTAGAGATGGAGTTTCACCATGTTGGCCAGGCTGGTCTCGATCTGTTGACCTCGTGATCTGCCCGCCTTGGCCTCCCAAAGTGCTAGGATTACAGGCGTGAGCCACCATGCTGGGCCCACTGAATTCTTTGCTGTGTGTTCTGTTAAGCTTTTATTGATTGTCCTTCTGGTTAGTGATGGCCAGTTACTGCACTGACTTTTTTTTTTTGAGACCAAGCCTGGGCCCAGGCTGGAGTGCAGTGGCATCATCTTGGCTCACTGCATCCTCTGCCTCCCAGGTTCAAGTGATTCTCCTGCCTCAGCCTCCCAAGTAGCTGGGACTACAGGCACACACCACCACACCTGGCTGATTTTTGTACCGTTAGTAGAGATGGGGTTTCACCATGTTGGCCAGGCTGGTCTTAAACTCCTGACCTTAGGTGATCTGCCCACCTCAGCCTCCCAAAGTGCTGGGATTACAGGCATGAACCACCGCGCCCAGCCTATTTATCTTGATTAAATAGCACTGGTATCTAGCAGTACCCTAGGCACTGTGGAGATACAAACATGACTTTCCAAAGGGTTTGCCTTTCAATTAATTGCAGTAGTTTACAGTTGTTAGCGTGACCCACCACATCCAGCCTGCACTGACTTCTTAAGTAGGCCCAATGTCAATGAAAGAAAAGTATTGTATTAGCAAGGAAATTGTATGTATTTGTGGTGGGATAAGAAAATAGGATCCCCAAACTTGGGCGTGGACAAATGTAGCCATTTCTCCCCTCTTCCCCTAGCCTAAAAGACAGTGGACCAAGGTTCTAGGCTCCATTCTGCTGGTGGATTTCTCACTCTGCACAGACCCCAACCTTGAGATGTGCCTCTGTCAGGGAAATGGGAGGCCCTATTTTAACATCTATTTTAACATCATGTGTTCTTAATCTCACGTTTATCCTTTCTGCTGCCTGTGTGCTGGTTCCATAGTAAACCGAAAAGAAAGTACAGTACCCTTATCTGAGTTCCTGTCTGCTTTCTCATCAGTCCTTGAACTGGTCCAGCCCTTGAGGTGTTGTGGCTTAACAACCTCTATTACTGAAAGCACCAAGAAATGTAAAGATACAGTGGCTCACACCTATAATCCCAGGACTTTGGGAGGCCAAGACGGGTGGATCACCTGAGGTCACAGGTTCGAGACCAGCCTGGCCAACATGATGAAACCCCATCTCTACTGAAAATACAAAAATTAGCCAGGCGTGGTGGCTGGTGCCACCCAGCTACTCAGGAGGCTGAGATAGGATAAACACTTGAACCTCGGAGGTAGAGGTTACAGTGAGCCAAGATGGCACCACTGCACTCCAGCCCAGGCAATAGTGTGAGACTCTGTTTAAAAAAAAAAAAAAAAAATACAAAGCAGCACGTTGTATAATATGGACCACATTGTAGTTGCACAGTAGATGTTTACTGAAGGAAAGACATGTTACTTGCTTTCAAGTAATCTTATAATCTAAAATGAGAGAGCATTTCTATACAAATACAGCAAGTAAGTACAGGATGACTATATGATTTATTGACTAAAATGGCACACTTTCAAGAGTGAAAGGGGTGTCACTGACAATTTACACAATTGGTACAGATTAGTACTGCCCTAAACAAATAGGAGATTGCCACCCTCATTACATATTATTAGAGAGGTAAAAGGATACCAGTTCAGAGGACCAGAAGTGCACTGTTGCTGGGAAAAGCGAGAAAAGGTTCACAAAGGAGGTTAGGTAAGATTTGAAATGTGGGGGCTGTAGAGGAAAAGGCCAGAGCAGGTAGAAAGTACAGTGAAGGAAGGATTGGATAAATTATTGTATTGCTGGATGGGCATGGTGGCTCACGCCTGTAGTACCAGCACTTTGGGAGGCTGAGGCAGGCGGATCACCTGACGTCAGGAGTTCAAGACCAGCCTGACCAACATGGTGAAATCCCATCTCTACTAAAAATACAAAAATTAGCCAGGCATGGTGGTGTGTGCCTGTAATCCCAGCTACTCGGGGCACTGAGGCATGAGAATCACTGGAATCTGGGAGGTGGAGGTTGCAGTGAGCAGAGATGGCCCATTGCATTCCAGCCTGGGCTACAAGAGTGAAACTCTGTCTTAAAAAAAAAAAA